ATAATAATAATAGATACATTTTTATTTTTTTAACAGTACAAAACATACTTTTCACTTGTTGGTCTATATGTACACAACACAGGACACAAACATCACAGCACACAGCATCTCCCCCTCCCCACAACATACAATATCCCATGTGATATACTTTAGGCTTTCTATTCCATATTCAATTCACAAAATCATTTCAATAACATTTAATTATGTTATAGCGCGCAATCTCATCAACAGAAGTTATCTCAGGACACTTCTCAAATAGAGCAGGTCTAGACCGAACTCTTTATAACATTATTATTATATATTGCTACCTAATGAACCCCCCCATTAATAAATCTGAGGAAGCTGTCCCACATTTCAGTGAATTTTGGACACAAAATCTTTCAAGGTGTGCTTGTATTTTTCCAGCTCCTCAGCACAGTCCTGGCTGCATTAAGGCAGCACAGTCCTGGCTGCATTAAGGCAGCCTGTAAGAGCAAATTCTGCCTTTGTAAGTCCAGCTGAACATTTGTCTCCAAAAAGGCAAATCAAAAGGCCACTCAGGTCCAAATGGAAAAACCAGCGGACAGTCCCACATGAAGTGTAGAAACATACCCACAGAACTCATCCCAGCACTCATTGCTTTGAATTAGACTAATGTTTGTCCACCTCACAAAATATCAGGCCCTCCCAGTACCACCATTATAACCAATGTTAAAATCAGCTTATTGCTGACTGCTGTTGAATCCTGAACGAAAACACTTCAAGAACCAGCGCTAACCCTCCTGGTCCACACTTCTCTTCCCAATAGTTCCTGTTTGGAGCCACAATTGCAGTGTATTTAAACTATTCCTTTTACCTCCCCTCACTATCTTACCATCACACTCACTCCTAACTAATCATGGATGTATGCCCAGTGTAAACCTATTGTCAATGCATGCGAAACGTTCATGAACTTGACAACATAGTGGGCTGATATTGAAACTAAATAAAAGTATTTTCATTAGGAAATGTGTAATATTATGTGAATATATATATATGGAGATACATAGTATCAAAGTATTATTATTATATATAGTATCAAAGAATTATTTTCTAATATGTAATATTCTCTCAACATGAATTCAGCCTTATTAAGATTGGACTACAGCACAGAGGCATCAAACACCAGAACAAGAGTAAAAGTATGCAAAGCAGCGTTTACACATTTTCCTGCTCTGGTCTCAGCGCAGTGGTCTCTTGCCAATTGTAGCTGCAGCTGTTCCTGGGGTGACCACTTTTCCTTCTTACTTGTTCCATTTCATGGCGTATCAGGTGATGTTTGTGGCAGGTTCTTTGAGGGTTTGTAGTGTGTGAGTCACTGGAATCCTGGCTTGTTCTTGTCTACAGGTCCACGTTGCTTACTTTGGCTACATTCACACTGCAAGCCTTAGCACTCAATTCTGATTTATTGTTCACATCTGATCTGATCTTTTATTTGGCTGTTACACGTTGTGTAAGTCATGTTGCAATGAATCAGACCTGAGTCTGATTAGGGCCGCTTTCATATGTGGTCCAGAATTGAAAAGATCTGATTCCATGTGGTTTGTAATATTGTTCACACTGTCACAAAACATCAGATATGATTTATATTTGAGTGATGATTAAGATTGAGCTCTGGATATGAAGAGAATTTGAACAAATAACAAAACATGCTTCTGAAATACATCCCCTATCCTACTTACCTACTAGCTTTAACTATGCACTTGGCTGTACTTGATACTCACAATGCTTTGACCCCTTTATTTGGTCCTGGGCTCTCTCTGGTGCCCTCCATTACAAAGCCCTGTAGTACATCGTCTAGTGTTGAGTGAGCTCTGCAAAAAGGGAACACACACGAACAGCAGTTACATACCATGACTCAGCTCCTATGAAGTCTGAATAATCCTGGAATTTTGTGTTTATAATGTCCAAAGCCAAGCAGATTGAAAAGGCACCAACGGGTGGGAGGTTCACTCAAATGAAACTAAGTGAGATGTTAGTACTTTTGTCACACTGAATACATGTAAAATACAAATATTAATAATTATTAATAATATAATACATATGAACTCAACTCAACTTTATTTATAGAGCACCTTTCATACCACACAAAACTGAATACACTAAAATGTAAAACAACAAAAAATAAAAGCCGATCTAAAACGAAACACCAGCGAGACAAATTAAGAAAACAATTATTAAAAACTAAGGCTATAATACTACTCCAAAGTAAAAGCAAGATTAAAAGGTAGGCCTTAAAAATACTTGGTTTGCCTGTCGGGGAAATTCTTCCATACATAATCTGGAGGTTGCTAGTTCTTACAGAATTACAAACCCAGTGTGATGAATCAAATTCCTTTACTCATGCAGCATGGAGGGAAGACCACAGCATAGACGTTCCCTCTAGACTTCTAAAATGCTTGGGCCTTATATACCCCTCTGTACATCACTAAACAGGATACAGCTTGTTGTCCTAGCTACATTCCTAATCTCATTTACACATGGGCAGTTTAGGTCTTTCACAATGATCCTGTGACCTGTGTGACCAAACTGCCTGACCAACTGGTGACCAACTGCTGACCAACTGCTGACCGGTCGTCTCCTACCATAAAACACATCCCCCTAACCAAAACGTATACATTAACTTCCCTACCTAAAACATTAATTTATCACATGCCGTTCTAATACTATATAATATATAATATATAGATTTCTAACCTCCCTTTCCTCTCTAAGATTCTAGAAAAAATAGTCGCCAAACAGTTGTGTGACTTTTTACATAGCAATAATTTATTTGAGGATTTTCAGTCAGGATTTAGAGTTCATCACAGCACAGAGACACGCTCTGGTTACAAGTTAGTAATGACCTTTTGATTGCCTCTGACACATGGTCTTGTCTCTGTACTTGTATTATTAGATCTTAGTGCTGCATTTGACACCATTGACCATAATATTCTTTACAGAGACTTGAGCAAAAAATTGGCATTAAAGAACCGCACTAAGCTGGTTTAGGTCCTATTTATCAGATCGTTCACAGTTTGTTCATGTTAACGATGAATCTTCAAATAAATACTACAGTAATCATGGAGTTCCACAAGGTTCTGTACTTGGACCAATGCTATTTACTTTATATATGCTCCCTTTAGGCAACCATTATTAGGAATCACTCCCCATTAACTTCCATTGCTATGCCAGATGATACGCAGTTATATCTATCAATCAAGCCTGATGAAATTAATCAATTATCTAAATTCAAACATGAAAGAAAAAAACGAAATTCTTATACTTGGCCCCAAAAACCTCAGAGACTCACTTTCTAAAAGATATAGCTACTCTAGATGGCACTACCTTGGCCTCTAGTGCCACTGTCAGGAATCTTGGAGTTATCTTTGATCAGGACTTGTCATTTAACTTCCATATAAAGCAGATCTCCAGGACTGCCTTCCTTTCATTTACGTAATATACTAAAATTAGACACATCTTATCACAGACAGATGCATAAACTAATCCATGCATTTGTTACTTCAAGCCTGGATTACTGCAACTCTTTATTAT